GAGGTTGTGGCGGTGATACAATAGGCGCTAGGTTATCTGTTGCTATCTCAGTGTGTCGATAAGTCAACTGTTGAAGTACTGACGTGTCCACTTCTCTCAAGAAAATTGGTTTGAGAGGGTCTGTCTCTAGTCCCGCTAATGTTTATCGCAAAAATTATTTCAAAACGCCGTGTCTTTGCAATATTTACGCTCCTTTCCATAATTCCGTGCCCTATTAAATGGCGGAATCTGATTTCTAGGGACCAAAATACAAATATATGCACGTGACAGAATGCATCAGAACGAGTTTAACTAGGCACATTATGACAGAGCCCAACGAATTTAAACTCAAGATCACGTTTTCAGGCTGAGTGACTCCAGACGATGCTGGCTGCAGAGGGTAATTCTGTTCACGAATCTTACCAAAAGAAAACAGAAATGACTGTCTTTGGAAAAAGAAAATTTTCCAAAAGAGAGGGGATTTATGATGTATGAGGGGATTCGGACTGCAAATCAGGCAACGAGCAGAAATGCCATAGTAGATATAGAATAAGGAAAATCGGTTGACGAATACCGCCATAAAATTTTGTAGCTGAATATCGGCGGAATCACTTGCACACTAAAAGGACAATACAGTTGGAGAGAGATTGACAGAATGCTGATGAAAGAAGAGGCCGGAGAAAAACAAAAAACGTGAAGCAAACGGATTACTTTATGATAGGTGGATAATGATACATCAGCAGGAAAATGAGACCTGGGCTATGGATCATTGTGGGATGCGTAGTTGCGATAACGGCAGGGACAAATAGATTGTGACAGAGGTGACAGGATACTTGGCTGGCCAACGTCCGTCTTCTAGTGTTCTTTCTAAAATTCGATCATATGATGACGACAAAGCAAAACTTTGCTTGACAAATGCGTCTGATATGTGCAGGTACGAGGAGGAAATGATGATTCGCAAGATCAGAGTGTTGCAGTACAGTGGCACTACGTGGGCAAGAGGTGTAACCGGAACAGGTAGCAGGGATTCAACGAATCGTTGGCAGCTGGGGTGCTTTGGATAAAGACATTTCACAGCCAGATATCGTTTATAGATCGTTATGCGGATATGAACGCAGAATAAAAGTGTCCATATTTCAATATATCGACGAAACGATGAAAATGATGACTTTCATCATGAGAAGTAGACATGTTTACCGATGGGATTGGTAGGTAGTTTGGCGTGAAAACTCGGGGAAAGCCGGCAACGGAGGATACGCTAACAACGTCGATGGGTTTTGAAAACTTGGTAATTATGCATTTAGAAGAAAAGAATGGGTCGACTGGGTAGTAAATGGACGAATTAGCGAGTTTTACCGGGAGCAAAGACGGGAAATTTACAGTGGTGATAATAAAAGCGATCACAACGAAAAATATTTAATAACTGGAAGAGACGGTGGTATATTTACAACAGACCAAGAATATGAAGGGTATTCGTAACCCGCAACAGACGCAATTGGGTCGGGCCAACCGCTCTGGGCACTTGGCCTGGAAACTGCTGCCCCTTCAGATTGCTGAAAACTTACTACACGTACTTTTGAGTGTGAACTGTGACCCTGTGATGGACCACACAATGACAGATTCGTCACATGTTCTACTTAAATGAAACTAACTAAAACGAGGCTATCTAATTGGGCGAAATCTAACCCCCTAGAAACATTATAAATAAAACTTTGAAGCTTTTGGCAGTATTGTCCATACCCAAAAGAGTTTTCTTAAGCTCAGACGACCGTAAACTTGTTTCGACAGTCATTTTGGGGATGTCAACTTCTGCTGGCACGGCGTTGTACGCGCGCACCGAATCGAGTCGGCTGAAAACGGGCTTGACGACTGGACCTGCTGTATGGCCTCCAATGTGCGGTGTTAGATAACGGTCGTAAATGATCCCTTAGGTCGACGTGCAATGACCCCCACAAGGTCTTCAGTTAGCAAACGTGTTTTTGGGACCACGGGAAACTATGATGCTCGTAGGCTGCTGGAAGGTCGAAATTTTCCCAAAATCATCATGCGCTGAAGTGCTGCTTCGGCATTTTTCGGCTTGTCTGGGGCCAACCTACGAGATCGAGTGCAAGCATGGGACCTACCATCAGTATGTAATGTGCTGCTTTGGTTAATATGGGGGCTAGACTGTTATTTGGGGGAACAGAGTTCGGGAATTAGCTGGAATGTTTACTGGATTTTAGATCTGGCGTGAGGATTGAGGGGATCTTGGCTTGGTAATGGGAGCATGCCAGTAAATCGAAAACTGATTTAGGTAGCTGGGTCCCAGACAAGGCTGTTGCTGAAGCCGGCCGCCAATCCATGATGTTCCGGGAAATCTTAACCCACGATGGCCTGAGGAACGTGAATGACGAAGAAAACCAACGAAAAGGCGCGATGTAGGCCAGAATCTAGGGTCAGGAATGTATTGCCCTGTGTTGGGACAGAAGTGCCATTTGCAGCCTGTAGGGTCAGCTTTATCGTCTGGGTGATAAGATGTTTTTCTCGGTGGATAGTACGGTGACGTATGCTCAAGTCTCCAAAAAAATCATGCTGTCAAATCTGTCTCAAGTATACGTCAAGCGACTATGAAAATGAGTAGCCGTGGAGGTCACCGTGATTTCCTTCCGGTTTAGTCGTTTTCCTCTGTCTGTGGAAAGTTCGGGGCTCTAACCAATTACGCCAGTGTGAACCAGAAAGGCCATCATAGTAGCTCTGTTCCGTGAGACCAACTAGTCGAAGAGATCACTGTGTAGAAATCTTGGGATTCGAGCTTCTGTTGGCAAGGCTTTGTCGTGATTTCATGTTCCACCACTTGCACTGAAAGCCAAACCTCCTAAAAGAAAGTCTGTAGGTCAAAATCACAGTCCAGGGTGGTTATTGGTTAAAGTCTGAAGAGGATACAATATCCCGCTATGAAGTCATGAACTTGTGAATGCACAGGCTAGTTTAGGGAGCTAACGTGCGTGCCTGTTCGAGGGCTTCGTCGGCGCCCTTCGTGTACATTGTCAAGCTCTGACCCTGGATAAAAATGTACACAATGCTTGGCGCTTATGGCAACAGCTGCTGCATCCACAGTTGTCGCAGAATCGTCATTCACAGTATTCTAACGGAGACGGCGTTGTTTCGACAAGATAAATCTCAAAGAGCGCATATTGTATATGGTTCTCTTCTGAGGCGGTGATGAGCCTGACAAGCACCACTCGTAGAATATCTTACGGGTTACTCTACGGGGGATTCATAACTGTTCCCTTATCTAACAACAACTTATTTTATTTTGGTCCTCAGATCTATAAGCGGGCCTCCTGAAAAAGTGCTTCTAAAATGGTCACGAAGGCTTTGAGATCCACTCGAATGGACCAGGGATCTTCATTGGCTCCAAATGAAAGAATGATATGTATTTGGGTTAAGGTTTGTCACACCTACCAAAGACAGGGTTATTCTTACCGCTCCAATAAACTAGAAGAAAAGCCATATTCGGCTATACTAAGCTACTCAAATAGCCATGGGTCTTGTAGAATGTCCGAATATGCCTTTGAAAATGTCTCGGAGGGAAGAAAAAACGTGAAAAGAACGGGATCATTGACTACAGTTACGAGACAACAACTTGGCTTGCGCCACCAGAATTCGCCGAATATGAGAACGAAAATGAGTCCTATAGGTGCAAACTAATCGACTCCGTGTTGTTGATGTTCCTGACGGAGCTCGATGCCTTTCAAGTCAGTGAAGCTTCTAGTGACTGAGTGCATATACAACCTGAGAATAACGGGTAAGCACCCGAGCAGCACAAAGGAACACTCCACCGTTACCTGGGTGTCCACTACGAAGTGGTTGGAGAAGGGTACACCAATGCTCCCGGAAACACATGAAATCTGAAAGACAACCTGGATAATTCTCTTGAATGCAGGTTTTTGGAGTAAATGTATAAAACAACCGATATTTTGGAATATTTGTCGATTCGATTGCGACTGGCTTCAGATATGGAAATCTATCTCGTGGTGAAAGCATAAGGACTTCAAAAATGATATTCCGTAAATACTGGTCATAATATTCGGAATCAATCAGTTTCCATGACTCGGTTACTGCGCAAAGTGGTTCTGATCTTTCCACTTGTTTGAAATAATTCCTCTGACGGCTTCCAATTTCAGATGTTACTCGTTCGATGTCGCCACCTAGAGTTCTTTGTTGAGCATTCGACCGTTTTTGATTGAATTTAACACTTGTTTTGTAGATATGCGGTTTGTTTAATCCTTTTTCCCTGAAGAACTTAGCATTTTAAAATGTATCTAAATAACCAGTTTGATCAATTTATGTGTAATGTAGGTGATTTTACAAACCGCGTGTGCTTCACTGTTTTCTAGTAAGAGTATTCTTAATATCTTCCGGATATAGCTTCTGGATAAAACACCGATGGCAAGAAGTCTCGGGAAGGCAAAGGTTTTTTTGATACAAATAGTTGCACAATCATGGTCACTAATTATCAATAATTATACGTCACTTTTTTTTTCTACAGACAGATACCATCAAAATACGTAAGTGTCCTAGAGCTACCACGTAATTTTTTAACGGAATACGTAACGTTGCGGCAATCAGTAACGAATCGACGTTTGCAATCGTTGCCACAACAATAACGGTTTATTAGTAAGTGAAAATTTAGGCAGACCTATGCTATTACAAATTGTTAAACAAGGCAATCTGGAAGTGTTAAACATTTGAATTTCAATTCACAACCTTCGCAATTTTCAGAAATGACCTTCACTTTTTCCATCATAATAAGGAAAGTGCCAGTGGGAATGAATTGCAGAGACAAAGCGTGGTAACACATTGTGATAATTTAGTATACATACGTATAAACATACTTTCATAATTTAATTATCATTTCAAGAAGTCGGTCATTTGCTTGCACCCTGGATGTCATTTCTGATAATTGGTGCAAACGGAAAAGTGGCTCATTCCAGGTCAAGTCGAACCATAGGACAAGCTTTTGGTCAACGAGAGTCCTGATGCTTCCGGGAAAGGCTACCTTTTTTAGCTGGATTCCGGAGTCTCTGCGAATATCATTCTTGTATCCTACGTTGATGGAGCTACTACCAAAGTGAGCACTACCAGTTTGCTACTGAAACAGAAGGAGATATCCAAGACGAAGTAATGTTAGACTTGAAGAACCTAAATAATTATACTACACACGAAACCACGTTGTGGTCAACGAAATGAACTTGAAACCAATTCTCTGACTTGGTGCTATCCGGAAATCGAATTTTATCGCAGCAATTGAGGAGAATTTTGAAAACAGCTTAGAAAAAACCGGCATCTTTAATCAGAGCGTATTAGTTTTCGGTTTTCGGTCAAGATGTTTCCCTGATGGAGTACATTTGTCAGTGATTGACATTTCCGTGTCCTCTTCGCATTAACGGCCCGTGGTTTCTCCGTAGCTCTACGGAAAACTGCTCCGTGAATTGGATCGTCCTCTGGGTCTAAGTGTAATAGCTGAATATGGTGAGCCAACAGTTTGGTTTAGTCAACTTGTAACTACCGAGAGGAAGTGCGAAACCATTTCTATGTCCATAGAACTAAAACATCTAAACGCTGCTGTCAGGAGGGAGCAATACAGACCAACGTATGATGGCATTCTTATGGATTTAAATAAGGCGCATTTCTTTTCCAAAGATCAGTTTTTCGTCGACTCACTGGCAACTAGATTTGTATGAAAAATTGAGTTTTTCACTACTTTGCCACCTCTTTCAGTCGTTTTCGTTGGCTGCTATTGTCTTTCGTATTAGAGGCATCCAGTGACATTTTGAAGAAGTACTTTTTGGAACTCTTGATGACCTGAAGCGTATGATTTGCTACGCAGACGATGTGCTGCTTTTTGGTAAAACTACAGAAAAATTGGATCTACGTTGTATGCAACAGACTACGCGACTAAGGAATGAAAGATTTGAAGCCGTGAATCATCGTTTGCTTTTGAGGCACACCTCTTGAAGGAAAACTGATTGAGGTCCGATCCAAAGAAAATTAAGCTGATTAAAAACATTCGCGCACTCGAAAATCTCAGTGGTGTGGATGATCCTTTTGGCAGATTTGGGTCACGCCTGGAAGGTTTGGTGCTGACAATTTGACAACTCACTGACAGGGAAACACTGTGGCACTGAGTTATGCAGCAACAAGATGCATTCGAAAGGATTAAGATGGTGGTCTGTGCCACGACGATATTAGCCTAATACCTACCCGATCTCCATTTAGCTTTCCAGTACGACAGCAGTTAGTCGGGCCTTGGAGCAGTGCTTCTACAAGGCGGACGGCTTAGTGATTATCACAGTCGCAGCCGCTTTTCGACCGAGAAGAAATACGCTCAGATTAAAAAGGAAATGCTTGCTGTGCAATTCGGTTTTGGGCATTTTAATGCACATTCATATAGCAGATAGACGATTGCCCAAAATAGATCACAGGTCACTTTCGATTGACGCTACAAGCCTCTTAGCGGTGTCCAGAGAGGTTTACAAGGATGCCAATTTGGTTGCAGAAGTACGATTTTGAACTTGTGTATGTCCCAGTGAGACTAATGCTGATCGTAGACAAATTTTCTCATAGGTGTGCCAAGAACAATGAATACAAGTTTTCGGAACTCGAACAAATTTCAGCTATTGTTTGGATTTCAACATACAATGATGAAAGCTGCTCCCGTAGACGCCGTCGTGTAACAAATGGTGGATTTCATTCTAATGGATGGCCTACAACCAGAAGTAATCTGTCAATGTGGCTCACCTTATTCTTCATAGTCATGAATTTCTCTCTGTCGATAACGGATAGCTGTACAAAGAAGATCGATGGGTCGTTCCCGATCAATTTCGAGGTAAACCGATGAAAAAACGATATTTGTCTCATCAAGGAGTGATTAGCACCATTCACCGAGTGGCACAATTGTTTAACGAGCCAAATAAAGACTAAATTAACAAAGCTGGTCAGATCATACCCATAAAAACCGACAGATGTAAGAAACACTGTTACTATGGGAACTTCCTATCTGCTAAAAGAACCCACGAAAGATTTACATATGGCCTGTGAGTATAAAACTATCAGAGCTGAAAGAACAGGATAAATATGGGTTCAGGATGTTCTAGGAGGACCTTATCCATGGAGAAAAGGGATAATAAAGTGACAATTGGGAAACAGACCCAACGAGGTTTCGGTGAATTACACAATAAAACGCAGTTACTGAAGACACGAAAGCAAAATGCCAGTGATCCTGAGAATGAAAAATGCACACATGAACCGGGGACAATTAGAACCGACCTTCTTTATCAAAGAGAGGATGATGTGAAGGTGTTGGCTAGCACATCAATAGACGGCCAAGCCCCTTCAGAAGGTGTGACTTTATGGTCTGTCCAAATTTGATGTCAAAGCTAAGGCCAGCGAAGCTGCTTCGTGGCCTAATCAGTCTGTAACAAAACGAAGAAAATCATTCAGTCTGCCGTTTACGGTTGTTTTAACGAAACGAGACATTGCAGTTTGTAACAAAAAGACCAACTCTAAATCTTGAGGTTACCCGATGGAAACACCGAAATTTCCGTGTTCCATCTATGCTACATTTTCCTCTTTATCATAAATGCATATTTGCTGGGACAAGTTATTCTCTGAACTGATTCTTCACTCAGTGATGTTAGTTTTGAAGCTGAGCAGCCAACCATTGTTTCCAGTTGGTCAAAATCCTCCTCCAAAGAACTGGTTTCCTGATCTGCAGTGACTTGCTTCGTTTGTTTCATGAGAAAACGTTATTTTACGTTGACTGCGTAAATTATTCCTAAAATATATTTATGTTCGTAAGTTGGACGGTTGTTAAGAGGAGACTGAATCTCATGTAGTAGAAAATCTAGTTGCATTTTTCGTGTAGAAAAGTCGAACGGAGTAAGCCGGAAACGAACAGGCGACACTTCGCTTACCGGGCAGATGATTCACCAACTGAGTTATCGTGGTTCGGACAGTCGGGTGTGAATACCGTAAGTGAATAATTGATGATGCGCGAACCACTATTCCAGTGATGCACAGTACCTATCTTGGTTTCATTCGCTGGTCTAGTATCGTCGGTCGCTTTCTTATGGGAGGAACAGCACACGAATGAATGTGATCCAATGGACATTGTGATTATATTGATAGATTACTATGTCGGCACAAAGAGCCTGAATCTTATCTAATGGAAAAAATGCAAGTGAATTTTCCAGGACAATGGCTGTGTGTCATTGGAATATTGGTTCGAGCATCATCAATTACTCACTTGCGCTATTCGCACCCGACTGGCAGTACCACGATAACTCAGTTGGTGGAGCATCTACCCGGAAGTCTGAGTGTCGCCTGTTCGTTTCCGGCTAGCGGCGTTCGACTTTTCGATGTGGACAATGCAAATGAATTTTTCATCACATAAAATATACTTATATCATTCCCTTTACAATTAGAAATAACGAATTCTGCATTAGGTATTATAGCCTACATTAATTTTGTATTATTCCTTGGGTGCCAAAAAGTGCGCGACCTTGGTTACCAAGACAAATATGCACGGTGTTAGAAGGCTCTAATTTGGTATAAGGTCAACGGTGAATTCGTTTTGTAACTATGAAGATGGAATTCGTCCCAGATGGTTTCTTGTCTCTGATAAGTAAATGCTGAACTTACCAGGAGTAGCTCTCTTGCTGAATTGTCGATCAGACTCGACTCGATTAGGATAGAAAATTTGTTTTCAGCATTGGATGAATATATTAGTGCTCTTTTCCATATCGGACTTAGTAGCCGAAAACAGTGTACATAAAGGACTCGAGAATAACGAGCGTAGCTGTAGCTGCGACTTTTCCTTGTGTACAAAGATGTTAAAACGAGTAAAGGAAAACAAAAGCACGTCAAAATATTCATAACCCTTTTGGTTACCTCTACGTCTTACCGAGGCCCATGAATGATAGGCTCTGTAGATCGTTCATATTAGGCGAATGCCTTCGTTGGACTCGGACCTCATGCGGACATGTCTTTACTGATAAACCTTGAAGGCCCGGTGGCAAGTGGTTTGCTGTCTCGCAAAATACAGTAACGAAACGAGGCTGTATTGTGTAGTGGTGATGTAAGCAGCCGAAGCCACTGACAGCCAGCTGTGATGACCCGATTGTAAGGTGTTTGACTCACGGTTGTTTACCCGGGTTCCAGTTCCAGTTGGGAATCGGTGGATGTACAACTTCGATAATGCTTAGCAATTCCCTTGGGAGGATTGCACAATACTTCCATGGTTTCCAGAAGTGAGTTAGGCATTGAAACTATTGGATAAGTCACACTGATTGATTGCTTTTAATATCAAACTGCTAACTTGTTCCGAAAAACAGACCATTCGTCTCTTGAAGTTGAGAATTTGGACTGTGTCATGGCTATGACCACATTAGGAACATAAGGCCGGACAGTGGACAGTTGTTCTCGATGATTGTTCTGCGTGACCTTGCAGTTCATGTGGGTGGGTTGACAGTGGAATCTGTTGACTCTTTATCCACTCCGGCGAAGGCAGCAAGCTAAGGATCTCCGACTGGATCCTGAGAACACCAATGATTATCACGCATGACCGTGAGAATTTAACTCTGACCACCATAACCACACAATAGAGACCAGTCTGAATCACGGCCAACCCCCATTTCACTTTTCTGCAAAAATAACTCTTAGCTAGACCAATGATCAACTCACTCCATTGTCATCCCGTCCATATGACCTGTGGGAGCACGTGCAAAATCTATTGAAAACTGTTACTCACTCACCAGTGTCTTGTTATTTGAGTTAAATTTGAAGCTTTACAGCCCCACGCATATTTTATTCCTCCGTTTATATATGTTTAAAAAGTATCATACTGGGTCTTGGTATGCAATGTTTGCTCTCAGATTGTTCCTTATTATCTTATTTTACTTTCGTCGATAACCCGCACTACGTCTAAGAACCTCCGGTCGATCTCATCTTGACACGTAATCCTATTTCCATTAACGGTATTGCATTTGTCTATGTAACTGAACAGCTGTCCAGTGAATGAGTGACTCGTAGAACACGAACCCGAAACCCAAAATTGAATAAGGCGAGCCGGTGAACTACGTGTACTTCAGAGAACAATCATTGCAATTACAAGCAACATACATCAATTTGTGGGACAATCCAATCACAAGGGTCCGGGAATATACTCCAAATAGTCTGAAAGGCCTGTCTGGGGGAATATGCCGAGTCCTCGGAATAGGATGGAATACGTCTTTTATAGCAAGAACAATCGACCAATCAGAGAATGAATGGGAAGCGTACATGAGACTGAGGGGAAGATATGACCAGGAAATTAGTTCAGACAAGGACGAAGAGAATCGCATTCACGCTTGACTTAGACCCTCACGCAGGCGTGGCGTGATCTCCATCCTGGAAGGAAAGTACTAAGGCCACTCGTGTGGCGCGAGTGAGAAAGCGAACAACGAACTGATGCAAGTATGATACACAAAGTCGGGCATATATGACGCACAAAACTTGAAGCTGGTAGGCCCCTGGAATAACCGCAGTGGAAAATTGTTCTGCTGTAAAAGCACACTCATAGGAAGACGATGGGTGAACGGAGGCAAGGCAACCGGATTCAAAATGCAACAGGAAGGGAACACGTGTAGGTTGAATTGGTTGTGAAGGACCGGGTGACAAGCTGATTAGAATCAGGTGAGTGAGAAAAGGAAACTGCGAGGGGATTTCACAAAATGTACTGAATTACCGATACAGTCAACTTTGCAGGACTCTCCTCTCTACCGCCCAGAACCACAATGGAGATTGGTTTTACTGCTGGTACATGATGTTTTCTGGTTCAAGTTCGAAATGTTATTTTCATCGAGAAGTCCTTGAAAAGGTTTCCTCCCGCAAACATTATCATTACCCTTGTGAGGAATTTATGGTATCTTAAAACCTGGGACTAAATATGGCCTTCAATTTTCCACATCCTTCTATTATTTTGTCACTCAGTCTCACTCAGAATCATAAATATATTTATTATTTTCACCACCACCTACAGAGACAGTATAATCCCTCTGATCTGTAGAATAACTTTTGAGCTCTTTATGGTGTTAGGCTCATGAGACGAATGGCATACGGATGTGCCTGATAACTATAATCACAAATCAAATGAGACTTATCTGGTATTCAGAAGACCCAAGGTCACAAGACATGGAATGTGTGTGAGTTGAAAATTCATCTTTGAATTGGTGTATTTTAGACTGTATTGAAGGGATTCATGGGTAAGAAGTTGAATCAAACATTTTATTTATTCGGTATTTGAAGCTTTCAATTTCGTCTTGGCCAGTCACATGAGAAAATCATCTGTAGTGAGATGAGAAATAGGACATGATTTCTGTGACCGCTTCGTTGACATAAGTTTGAAAAACGCCCAAACTGCAAGTTATTTGTTGAAATGACAACTTTAATTTCACTGAGACGAATCAATAAATCAATTCGATCAACGAGGAACGTCCCTCGACCACTGGTAAAACCACCACTGGGTTGCCATGGGAACAAACATTGTGATTCAGCTATGAAGATGACCCAAATTAGTCGACCTAAATAAAACAAAGTCTATTGGAGTACGCTATGAAATAAATTAACTAACCCCACCCGTACTTCTCCAGATTGAACAGAAATGTTTTACTACTTCGAAGAATCAATTTCTTCTCTAGGAAATGTTATACGGAAATAAAAATATCAACTTCACAATGCTCTTTGGATACTTCATGAGGATAATCTAAATGAGCTACAAATACAAAAGCAATGAACAAGATGTGTCCAGGGAAGAGGAAATCCACTGTAATGAAGGGGACTGATTACATAGGATAAAGAGAC